AATGAAGGAATATGGCACACTAGACTGCAAGATGTGAGATGTTGGGGTAAAATAACTAAACGGCCATATAATACTATCAAGCTCATTTACTCAAGTGAGAATTCAAAGTGAATTTCAAATTTAAGACCAGAGTAGCTAATCTGGAAGCATAGCCAACCGTGATAATTGTTCCAGTTCAACTATTTTAACTTTATATTTGAAATTCACTTTTACATTTGCCCAGCATTCTCATTGTAGTGAATAACCCTGTGAGTAGATTTGGTACACAATTTATTCCTGTGTGTGTGACTGACCACTTGGCTGCTTTTATGTTTCTTCAAAAGGAAACAACCCTTAGAGATTTCATGATATAATGCAATACTGTAAATTGAAATTTTCTGAGTCCATCAACGTAGAAATTAGACCTCCACTCCCCAATACTGTTTATCTGCAAACCTTTATAATAGAAAGTTAAAGGACCACTATAGTGCCAGGAAAACATACTCGTTTTCCTGGCACTATAGTGCCCTGAGGGTGCCCCCACCCTCAGGGTCCCCCTCCCGCCCGGCTCTGGAAGGGGGAAAGGGTTAAAAACTTACCTTTTTCCAGCGCTGGGCGGGGAGCTCTCTGCTTCCTCTCCTCCTCTTCTCCTCCTCCTGGACTGAATGCGCACGCGCGGCAAGAGCTGCGCGCGCATTCAGCCCGTCGCATAGGAAAGCATTTACAATGCTTTCCTATGGACGCTTGCGTGTTCTCACTGTGAAAATCACAGTGAGAAGCACGCAAGCGCCTCTAGTGGCTGTCAATGAGACAGCCACTAGAGGATTAGGGGGAAGGTTTAACCCATTCATAAACATAGCAGTTTCTATGAAACTGCTATGTTTATAAAAAAATGGGTTAACCCTAGAAGGACCTGGCACCCAGACCACTTCATTAAGCTGAAGTGGTCTGGGTGCCTAGAGTGGTCCTTTAAAGGTGCACATTCCAACTTTGCCAAACTTAAACCACCTGCTGTCCTCCTAAAACACTGATATGTAAAGGAATTTTGGAACTTCTCTTGCAGCCGCTTGGTAGATAACTCCCTAATTCCCACGGTATTAGGGAGTTATCTACCAAAAGGCTGAAAGACCTAAATTGATCTTTCAGTCAAATTTACTAATACTAAGTAAATATTACTTAGTATTAATAAATTGCGCCACTACTCGTTATACCGCGAGTAGGGGCATGTCTATTAAACAGTGAGCAGCCAGTGGCAGCTCACTGTTAAATTTTTTTTTTAAATTGGTCCCCCCTCCCGAGCCCCCACCCACGACGCATGAGTGGGGGCTTTTAAACTAAAGGGGGGCCTATTAGAATAAGGGGGGGACCTATTGCCCCCCCCGACCCCCACCCCTGAGCAGCGGGTGGGGGCCCTAAAGTAAAGTAATGGGGGGACCTATTGTCCTCTCCCTCTGCCCCCACCCCTGAGCGGCAGGTGGGGGCCCTAAAGTAAAATAATGGGGGGGACCGGTGGGTGGGGGCCCTAAATTAGAATAAGGGGGGAGGACCTAATGTCCTCCCCTTCTGGCCCTCATCCCTGAGCGGTGGGTGGGGGCCCTAAAAACTAATTGGGGGGGACCTAATGTCCTCCTCCTTGGCCCCCACCCCTGAGCAGTGTGTGGGGGCCCTAAAACCTAATTAGGGGGGAACCAAATATCCTCCCACCTGGCCCCCACCCCTGAGCGGTGGGTGGGGGCCTTAAATTAGAGTGAGGGGGGGACCTAATGTCCTCCCCCCTGGCCCCTGTGTCTAAGTACCAGGTATGTTAATAGAGTGTAGTGGTGGAAAGTCATTCCCCAGGCAGGGGTAGATGGTATATCGCTCTCTGGGTATGTCCCTCATGGTGGTACAATGGGTCCCTGCGCTTTCCATGCTTGTCTAGGTGTAAACTCTGGTACGTCAGCTGGATTCAGTTGTGACAGGTTCAGACCTCTCTGGTGTGGCGGTGTCAGGATGCCTAGGGTGGTAAGTAGTGATCCAATCTCCTGGGCGCTGTATACTCTGTGTGTGGTCCCTCTGTGGGAGAAGATGACCGCTCTTGGGGTTCCCCACTTGTAAGGTATATCTTTATTTCTTAGGTGCTGTAGGCTTGGTTGCATCTCCTTTCTCCATGCAAGGGTGTTCCTGGTTAAGTCTGAGAAGATGGACAGTGTTGATCCTTCAAAGTGTAGAGGGGTTTTCCCCCGGAGTGCTGCAAGGGTCAGTGCCTTGTGTTGGGGCGATTGGAATCTTACTATAAGATCCATGGATGCGGTCGCAGGAGCTCTGGTAGGTTTTGGCAGCCGGAACATACCATCTAGCTCTACGGCCTTCGCCTGTTTGGGCGGCAATATGGTGTTCAGAAGGCGTTTAATAAAATGTGGACCCTCTGTGGTCCCTACTGAGTCGGGTATGCCCCTGACCTTTAAGTTGTATCTCCTGCGTTGGTCCTCGATGGCATCCAATCTGTCTGTGGAGGCTTTTTGATGGCGCTGGAGGTCGGCCACTTGTTGCTCTACCGATATTAGCCGTGTATCTTGGGCGCAGGAGATTTCCTCCAGCCTGGTGACCTTAGTGGCTGCCGCGTCTATGGCTGTTTTGTAGTGGGCCATGTCGGGTGCGATATTCTTTCGTAGCCAGCTCAGCATGTTTTGGAGCAGGTCCGCCGTTACGGGTTCTCCCGGCTTTGATGTGGCCTTGGCGGGGTCCGGTGCTTTGTTAGCAGTGGCTCCTATATCCAGGTCGGCAGTAAAGTCATCCGAGGAGTAGGAGTAAAGGACGTCTGTCATTGCCATTTTGTCCCATGCGGCCTCGTGCCGTGGAGCAATTCTCCGATATCTCGGCTCGTGGGGGCTTTATCAGCCCTCGTTTTCTTTGTTTTTTTGCCCATGATGGTTCAGTGTGCCGCTGGCAAGAGGGTTGTTTGAGTTTGGGGTTCTTCTCCACCTTTTAGGATTCAATTTCTCTGGTCGAGATACGAAGTTCAAGATTATGCGACCGACCAGTTCCCCAGCTGGCTCCGCCCCCTAGGATATCTTAGATATATTGTTGACAATTAGAATTTCTGCATTTTTCAGAAACTGGGGCTTGAAACATGGATGGAACAAGACAATATGTTTTACTCAGATCAGCATAAGAGCATTCAGCAGTGAGATAATTGCAACATTGGAGAAACTTCACTAATTGTTGCAATATCTCCCTAAGAGGTTCTTTAGCTTAACTCTTTGTTTATTTCTTATATATCCTTTATGTTTGACCAATGCACTGCCTTGGAGCTCACACTCCATGGTTTGTAGAATCCTCGTACCACAAATTTCTATACTATTTTAAAACTTAGAAATAAAAGTAATTTTTTACCATTACATAACTAACACGTTTGATCATTCACTACAACCTATCTTTTTCTCTATCTGTCTTAGTGCTAAAACCCCTTTTTTAGTAGTGATATATCTCCAACCAATACCACTACTTATTTATCTGTATTAGATAAGGAAAATATCCTCTTTTTCTTCTATTTCTGAAACGTAATAACTGAAATGAAGGCAGGCTCTACCGCCTTTTTAAACAGGAAATCCTCCAGTTTCAAACTTTCATCCCTGACAAAAGTGCTATTAAAGCACAGAAACGCGTGTTGGGATCACTCTTTTCACTTCAGCACTATACACTGAATTTATCACCTCTTACTTCATCGGCATGGATATTCAACTACATCCCGTTTATGCAACATCTTCCATTGGCCATATTTTCCTGCATAAGCATTTTTGGATGTTTCTTCCTGCTCTTTATTTTCTGATATATTTCCACCTTTACAGTGGAAGCTAGGAGACTCAAGTTCTCTTATCTTGCTACCTTGCAGTACATGGCCACTTTAGGATGATCTCGTGGCGTGGATAAGTTATGTGTGCGAATTACGACCAGTAATTGCTTCCAGTCCCTTGTATACCTGATGGGCTGACACAACGACATACATATTCCCATTAGTGTTCCACTGTACCCCGTTTATGCAACATCTTCCATTTTGCATATTTTCCTGCATCAGCATTGACTTGGGATGTTTCAACTTGCTCTTATTACCCAATATATTTTCACTTTTACAGTACTAATGTCCAACTTGGACCACACACCCCCATGCTCTTAGGCTGACTAACTGCTTAGTTGATCTCTCCCTATCTACTCATAGTACCAAGGTTAATTATTGGATTGTGATTGTTTAGGCATATTTAGACATCCATTTCCTTAGACCAATGTACTGCTTTATGTTTGAAAATATAGATTCTCCCGAATGTCGACCTCTATAATAGCACGTTGTTGCTAACTATATAGGATGGATAAAGCCTCTTGGCTTATCCATTTTGAATCTTTTGTGGTTATTACACTTTAGACAACTATATTCTCGGCTGTTGGTTTATCCCCTTTAAAGATAGAATTATTCGCTATATTGTACACATTCCTCATTATGTTTTAAATACATTTCACTCCCTTATATCAGTCTTTCATTTACTAGTACCTAAAAGGAATTACTTCTAGGAGGAATTTTTTTTCATAATTTATTTCTTTTCTGTATCAAGTTTCTAGGGTTTCTAGGCCAGAGTGACAGGGGACCACCCACACTAACGTTTCCATAATAAGCAGTAACTAAATAGGAGCAGTTGATAGATGCCCATTTCTTCCAGGCGGTTCATGTGTATGTTAGCGTATGTTGAGACTACATTCGAGCCCATCGCCGTGCCCTTGACCTGCTTGTAGAATATATCTTCAAACAGAAAGTAATTATTTTTTGAGTACTCAGAAGACATCTTTTATTTATTTTCTGTTTCTGTTTCTTTTTCTTTTTTTCTTATTTTCTTTTTTTTAAATATAAGTCTGGAGTAGCTTAAGAAGGTTAACATAGAGAGAGACATACATTTTTTTTGTTTTGAAATTATAAGATTTTCTCTAATTAGTATCTTTTTTTTCATTTTTTCCATTTTTCAATTTAGTTTTTTCAAAATGGTAACCATGCACACTATTCAACAATTATGGAAGGCACCCTTTAGTGTATTAACCTTATGAAGGACTTTACAGGTCTCGTGGCTGAAGCGCATATTGCAGTATTCATTTGAGACTGGGTCAGGATATAATATATTGTTTACTCTTATTGTTCATTCTTTATGGTATGAAGTGATGTACTATAGATTGTATCCAGCTTTTTTTTCTTTAAATTTGTTATTTTTGCGTGCAAGAAAAGAGCAGTTACATATGCGTTTGTAATGCCCCAAGAGCATGTACTCACAATCTAACAGTAGTATCCAGCTTTTTTGATACTGAATTAACTTGTGTATAATATACATTTTAAAAAAATAAACAATTTTGAGCATCGATTTTTGGAGTGCGGTATCATTCTCTATGTTTTGGTAAGAAAGTGAGAAACATGGAAAGATGGGAAAGTGGGCAAGTAAGTTGAGGCAGGTGACTCTGGAAGAAGCAGCATGTGACAGAAAGAGGTGGTAAGGAGGAGGAGAGGGAATGTATGTAGAGAAACTAAATAGCTATATGGCTGACAAAGAAGGATGTATACTAACATGGGAGAGGAAATATTGAAGGTAGTTTGCCATGAGAATGAGGTGGAGGTTTACTGCCATGAAAACGTGAGGAGCGAGGAGAAGTTGACAAATAGACACAAGATTATACAGAAGGCAGAGGACCAAGAAGACATAATGACTGGAAGATTGAAATTCCCAGCTCTATCACTTATAAGAAGCATATAGGTCCTTCTTAAACATCTCTGTGGGAAGGTGGCTTACTGGCTTGATCTTTACATTATCATAATATACTGAACATTCTGTACATTCTAATGTAATTAAAATGTTCCATTCTACAGATTTCTAAACCAGAGCATCTAATGAGAAAAATGTGATAACATGGTAAGCTAGAGAGTTAACTTGCAAGAAGAAGAGACTGAAATGGGGTAACTAGAAGAGTATTCTCAAATCTCAGTCCCTATACCCTATTGAAAAACTGCTCTACTAGTATGTGGTGACAAATTGCCAGTCCTAGAGCATAAAAACGAACCTATGCAAAATAATAAATCTTTATTGGTCCCTCTTAAGGGTTAGACAACTCATAGTGAAAAAAGGTGTATGTACAGTAAAGTGCAAATTAAAAATACGTTAAAGGAAATAAAGACCTACTGATAATTCTGCTAGCTATGCAAGCATCACACCATATCGACTAGATATTTCATGAATAGTTACAGTATTTTATAAACTGCTGCTAGTAACTCTTTTGCAACAGTGTATCAATAGCTGATATTGTTTAGCTGTGTATCTAGGGGAGAAAAAGTAACCACTGTGATAGATGGCTCCAAAAAACTGTATCCCACGCTCAATAATATAGCAATATTGCCCAAGTATGTGCAAATAAGAGCGGGTAAATACGGAGTCCTAATATGGTATCTCTAGGTTAGGGGAACTACAGATCATCAGGGTAGTATGGAGATTATATCAGAGTATTTGGGAACAAATAATAAACGGCAGCGTTGCTCGAACCAATAATGTGGTCGAGATACTAGCCGTAACAGTTGTCATAAAGCCCCAATTATAACACTCAGTAAATCCCCCACACTATAGTTAGATAAAAGTAGTCTTAATATAATGAGACGGGCAATAGCAGAGTGTAGCCAGACCTGAATAAACAAAGAAATCGGTCTTCTTATATAAGTTAGTCAGAGCTCGTCAGGTATCTGTAAAGTTCAAATTGCTGGATGCTATCTATCTCTTAGCATACTGAATAGATCTAAATAATGTTAAAGAAAACTTAGGACTGACTAAGTAATTGCCCATCATAAGTTAGGCTATAGTGCTAAAATGCATGAGTAAAAGAGACCTAGCAGGAATACCAACATGTCCTGGTTGAAAATCTTAACCCTAATAGGTAAAGAACCCCCCCATTCCATAAGCAAATAGGTACAGAAAGCAGTCGTCTTAAGTAGACATGAATATGTCGGGTAAGCCCAACGAGCGTTTCGGTGCTAGTCTGCGTCTTTGTCAAGAGCTAACCGGTATGTTGGTTGGTGCCACTTTTTAAATCTCTATAAGCTCCGCACATGAAATCCATGACGTCATCGTCATTCCCTGACTGAGTCAATTAGTGGGCGGGGATAGGGAAATGAGTGGCCCGATCGTGGTCTCGGCATAGGGGAAATGAATGAACCCGCTCTCTGCCGAGTATTGTCCTAATCCTCATGATACAAACGTAGGGAACCACAGTAGTATTGATAGTCCGTTACAAAACATATTCATGTCTGCTTAAGACGACTGCTTTCTGTACCTATTTGCTTATGAAATGGGGGGTTCTTTACCTATTAGGGTTTAGATTCTCAACCAGGACATGTTGGTATTCCTGCTAGGTCTCTTTTACTCGTGCATTTTAGCACTATAGCCTAACTTATGACGGGCAATTATTAAGAAGTGTAGAGTTTAACGTCAGATGCTTTTTACTTGGCGGTCTTTCGACGCTACCTATTAGACCATTCCGTTTGTCATACTAGATAGGATATTCTAGTATGCCAGGGATAGTCAGTCCTAAGTTTTCTGTAACATTATTTAGATCTATTCATTATGCTAAGAGATAGATAGCATCCAGCAATTTGAACTTTACAGATACCTGACGAGCTCTGACTAACTTATATAAGAAGACCGATTTCTGTTTATTCAGGTCTGGCTACACTCTGCTATTGCCCGTCTCATTATATTAAGACTACTTTTTATCTAACTATAGTGTGGGGGATTTACTGAGTGTTATAATTGGGGCTTTATGACAACTGTTACGGCTAGTATTTCGACCATATTATTGGTTTGAGCAACGCTGCCGCTTATTATTTGTTCCCAAATACTCTGATATAATCTCCATACTACCCTGATGATCTCTAGTTCCCCTAACCTAGTGATACCATATTAGGACTCCGTATTTACCCGCTCTTATTTGCACATACTTGGGCAATATTGCTATATTATTGAGCGTGGGGTACAGTTTTTTGGAGCCATCTATCACAGTGGTTACTTTTTCTCCCCTAGATTCACACCTAAACAATATCAGCTATTGATACACTGTTGCAAAAGAGTTACCAGCAGCAGTTTATAAAATACTGTAACTATTCATGAAGTATCTAGTCGATATGGTGTGATGCTTGCATAGCTAGCAGAATTATCAGTAGGTTTTTATTTCCTTTAACGTATTTTTAATTTGCACCTTACTGTACATACACCTTTTTTTCACTATGAGTTGTCTAACCCTTAAGAGGGAACAATAAAGATTTATTATTTTGTATAGGTTCGTTTTTATGCTCTAGGACTGGCAATTTGTCACCACATACTAGTAGAGCAGTTTTTCAATAGGGTATAGGGACTGAGATTTGGGAACACTCTTCGAGTTACCACATTTCAGTCTCTTCTTGTATTTTTACTTTTGGGTTATGCCCTAATACCCCTCAACTTACTCAACTCTAGTGCAGGGTTCTTTCTCCCTTCACTATTGGTTGTGCTTTCTCTTAGAGAGTTAACTTGGTTAATACCCAAACTGCCGTACCTGTTCAAATCTCATTTTTTTTTTTTTGAGTACAAGTCTCAGGGTTTCAGATGTGTTTCTCAGTAGGATCAACTCAATGACCTTTCATCATTCTAAGTATGATAAAACTGTTTTTTCTTTATTATTGCACCTTATTTTTCAGCAGATGATTCTCGAAAGAGCTTTGACTACCCTTTGGGGGAAAAAGTGCTATATATACATATAAAATAATTACATGCTGTTCTATCTCTCTGCTACACTTAAATGATACTGTAACTGGTAACAGAAAGCAATGATATTTGTAATCATGGAGCAGAGGCACACTTACTTCAAAGAATTTGTAGAACCCTTTGGCAACTCAGCAGGGGACGTGTTCCAAATTATGTGTAAGTTTGCTTTGGTAACGCAGTGTCTCTTGGCCATTCAACGTGTTCATACACTGCAGAATGTCACTGATTAACTATTCCATCTGTCTGCTCTTGTCATATGCCGTACTGACGTGGACATTTAAGTTATTTAATGTACAAATTAATGGAAAGCAACAAAAAGACAGTTTAATATGCATACAGTTTAAAAAAAAAAAAAAGCATAACCTTTTAGTTTAAACTCTACAGTGCTCTTGTGCTGTAATAAGACAGTTCTGTTTACTGCAACCTTTGATCTTTTCTGTCTCTTCCTTTAATTCTTCCCATTCTTCCAGTTCTCATAATAACTAGTCTTAGTTTTCATATTCAGCTTATATTGCCCCATAAACCTATTTCCTATTACTTCTACTATAAATCCAGGTACTCAGAACTCTGAATTGTTGGTAATGGAACTAGCAGAGATTTTGCAATATTACGTAATGCACGCTCTCACTAATATATATCAGTCTATTAAACTGACAGTGCAACTCTTCTTTTTGTAGATAAATCAAGAAGGGGATCTGCGTTCAATATATCACTATTCTTTATTCCCCCAGAGCAATTATTTTTTTGTGACTTCTCTAAATGAAATGCGTCTGAATAGTTTTCAAGACTCCTGTGGAATAACTAAGCGTTTCTCAACGGTTTGACATGGGGCTTAATAACTCATAGAGGTTAAAGAAAGTCCAAAGTGCCATTAACTAGCAATAGCCTAACTTTTCAGTGATTTTCTCGCCCTGTTACTTGCAAGCTGTCCTTAAAGGAACACAAACATGTATTCCTGACCAGGGCCGGACTGGGGAAAAAAATTTGGCCTGGGCATTTTTTATTCACAGCGGCCCACTGAAAAGAGGGCGGGGCCAGATAGGGTGTGTTTTGTCATCCACAATGACAAGCACGCCCCATCTCAAAGTAAGCATGTTGGTTCAATGCTCTTCCAGGGCATGAGAAAAGGCCCCTGTATTTGTTCTGCACAGTGCAAGCAAATTTAATAACATGCTTGCGTTGTGTTTGCTTGAAACTTGACTCACTGTATCCCATTTATGGAGACACTATGTGTTTGCTTACATGGAATCTAGTGTTTGCATAGGGGATCCAGAGTGTGTATGTCAGAAATGTAGTGGGTGTGTAGGTGGTGCAGCGTCTGTGTGTAGGGGATCTAGTGTGTGTTTGAAGGACTCAGGAGTGTGTATAGGAGATCTAGTGAGTGAGTGAGTGTGTGTATAGAGGATTCAGAGTGTATTTGGCGATCTAGTGTGTGTATATCTGTAGATGATCCAGAGTTGGGTAAGGAATCTATTGTTTGTCTGGAATTTAATGTGTTTAGGGGTGTAGTATGTGTGTGAGGGGTTCTGTAGTATATATGTAGTGTGTGTGTGGATGCTGTGTGTGTGTGTGAGGGTGTTGTGTGTGTGGGTGCTGTGTGTGTTAGGATGCTGTGTGAGGGTGATGTGTGTGTGTTAGGGTGCTGTGTGTGTTAGGGTGCTATATGTGAGGGTGCTGTGCGAGGGTGATGTGTGTTTGTGTTATGGTGCTGTGTGAGGGTTCTGTGTGTGTGAGTGAGGGTGCTGTGTGTGTTAGGGTGCTGTGTGTGTAAGGGTGCTGTGTGTGTGGGGGTTCTTTGTGTGTGTGTGTGGATGCTGTGTAAGGATGATGTGTGTGTGTGTGTGTGTGTTAGGGTGCTGTGTGAGGGTGATGTTTGTGTGTGTGTTAGGGTGCTGTGTTAGGGTGCTGTGTGTTAGGGTGATGTATGTTAGGGTGCTGTGTGTGTAAGGGTGATGTGTGTGTAAGGGTGCGCTGTGTGTGTGTTAGGGTGCTGTGTGTGTGTTAGGGTGCTGTGTGTGTTAGGGTGCTGTGTGTGTGTGTGTGGATGCTGTGTAAGGATGATGTGTGTGTGTGTGTGTGTTAGGGTGCTGTGTGAGGGTGCTGTGTATTAGGGTGCTGTGTTAGGGTGCCGTGTGTTAGGGTGCTGTGTGTGTTAGGGTGCTGTGTGTGTTAGGGTGATGTGTGTGTTTGTAAGGATTGTGTGTTGGGGGAGGCCAATATTGATAAATATTAATAAAATAAAACAAAAAAACCCACAACATTATACCCCCCCCTTACCTGTAGCTAGGCTGGGGGGGAGAAGGGGCTGCTGCCATTCATCCCTGGTGGTCCAGTGAGGAGTGAGCGAGATCCGACCGTTGACATGGCAACGGTCCAGATCTCGCGAGAGAAACCCGGCGGAGCTGCAAGTTGGAGCTCCGCCAGGTCCTCCTCTGCTGGCTGGCTGTCTCCCTCTCTCCCAGGCGGTGGCTGCGTTTGACTGCATGTGGGCCGGTGAGGGAGATCTTTGATCTCCTCACCGGCCCTTCATGGAACACCACAGGGCCGGCGCTCAGATAGCGCCGGCTCTGCATGGACCGGCCGGCATCGGCCCGTGGCCATCGCGGCCCACCGGGCATTTGTTTGGTTTGCCCGATGGCCAGTCCGGGCCTGTTACTGACCCTATAGTGTTAAAACCTCCATCTAGTCTCCATGCAAATGCAATAAGCTGTAGATGTTCTGGTGACTATAGTGTCCCTTTAAGCAGATTTAATCAATGATTCTATTTGATATTCTGTATTTTTCAAATCATCCTCCCACCCCTTTTTTGCCCCTTCCCTTTTTACTTTTCTATTTATTTTATTATTGATATGGTCTGGTACATTATGGAACAAGAAATAATCCACTGAGTGTCAGGGGTTTAGTAGATAGAACCCAAAATACAGCAAGGTTGCTTGAATGGAAAGCAACCATGATCCAGAGGGCAGGATAACATTTAAGAGTAAAAGAGTCCAGTACTCAGAATATCCAGGTGGGTTCCAAGGTTAGACTAGACAGGGGTCAATAACCTGGATATAAGGCAGGAAGATAATGCCAAGCAACAGCAGAAGCACTGAATAACTAAACAATGAAGACTCAGCTGTTCTGTGCTTAAGTAGGGCAGCTTTGCTTAGACATGTGACGCCCCCTCTATTAAACCTCCGTACCACCCCTAATCCTTGTCAGTTATATGTGACACCAGGTCCAGACTGGCCATTGGGCAAATCAGGCAAATGCCCGGTAGACCGCAATAGCCATGGGCTGAGGCACACAGGGGAGGTCAGAGGATCTCCCCTTGTGGCCTATGCAGAGTTGGAGTTGGAGTTATTGAAGTGCCTTCATGGGCTGGCTGGGAGATCAATGATCTGCCTCACTGGCCAACATGCCCTTTTTTTATGAGATCGTAGGTAGAGGAGGAGCCGGAAGGATCTTTTGCTCCTGTGAGCTGGGCAGTTTGGAGCATTGAAGCTTTGTGGAGCTTGTGAGAGTAGTGAACTCAGCCTATAGCAAGAGGATCTACAGGCCAGAGTTACACACCACCACCAGACCACCAGGAATTGCACTCCCCCATTCCCCCCTGAGAAAAAGGTAATAAGAAATGTGGAGAGATATAAATCTGTTTGTTTGTTTGTTGCACCCCTCACGCACACTACATCCCTGTCAAACACTACACCCCTCTCACACACTGCAGCCTTCTCATACACTGAACTCCTCTCACACAGCACCCCTCACATGCACTGACCCCTCACACACAGCACGCTTCTCTCTTACACACAGCATCCCTCTGTCACACACTGCACCCCTCTCATACACTGAACTCCTCACACACTGCACTCTTCTCACACACTGCACCCCTCACATGCACTGACCCCTCACACACCGCACGCTTCTCTCTTACACACAGCATCCCTTTCTCACACACTGCACCCCTCTCATACACTGAACTCCTCACACACTGCACCCTTCTCACACACAGCACCCCTCTGTCACACACTGGAGAGACAGAAAGGTCACACACTGCACTTCTCTCATACACTATACCCTTCACACACACTACACCCCTTATACACACACTGCATCCCTCTCTTACAAACTGCACCCCTCACATGCACTGACCCCTCACACACCGCACGCTTCTCTCTTACACACAGCATCCCTCTCTCACACACTGCACCCCTCTCATACACTGAACTCCTCTCACACAGCACCCCTCACATGCACTGACCCCTCACACACAGCACGCTTCTCTCTTACACACAGCATCCCTCTCTCACACACTGCACCCCTCTCATACACTGAACTCCTCACACACTGCACACTCCTCACACACTGCACTCTTCTCACACACAGCACCCCTCTGTCACACACTGGAGAGACAGAAAGGTCACACACTGCACTTCTCTCATACACTATACCCTTCACACACACTACACCCCTTATACACACACTGCATCCCTCTCTTACAAACTGCACCCTTCTAACACACTGCACCCCTTAGACACAAACTCACAACCTGCACACACTGCACCACCTACACACACACACAGTAGATCGCCTATGCACATTCATAGAATTTCAATGCAACTAACTTTAATTAACAGTAATTAACTTTGTCTGACTCAAGTTGGCTCTATTATTGATTATTTAAAGCAGGGTTCTCCAAACTCTGGCCCTCTAGATGTTGTTAAACTACAACTCCCATGAATTTCTGGCTCTCTATTTCATAAAAAAAAAAAATATGGAGTCATCTGGAGGGCAATAGAGTTTAAAAAACCCTGATTTAAAGGAACACTCCAGACATTGCTTTACATGTCTGTCATGTTTGTGACCGTTAATTAAAATGCAGATTTCTACAGAAATCTGCACTTTTACAATTGTGGGCAGAGACATATCTCTGGTTGTCACAGCCAGCAAGTTTTTTTCTCCACTTCCATTAAATCCACTGAGCTAATGGAAGCAGCAGAGATGCTGTGCTAAAATGCAGTACTACAGCTCATTGAAAAAAACAGGAAAGCCAAGATTGAGTGTGTGCTCACAGCTCCAACACAGAGGATAGAGGCTTCTCACTGAGTCTGTCAGAATGAAGTCAGACTTCAGTCTGTGCTGGGGAATACACTAATCAGAGGCTCACTGAGAAGCCTCTGATTAGAGTGTATTCCCCAGCACATACAGCTGAAAGTCTGTTTTGGGGAAAGAGAGGAGGGCTTGCAAAGGCTACAGACAGCTGTATCTGATATATCCACAAAGACAACATGGCAAAAATAAATGCATGTATTCTTTGGGGATATATCTAGTAACTCTGTGTGCTTGAGTAGTGTGTATACTCTTGTATAGCAGTATGTGTCATTGTGTGCAAACTGAGTATGTGTATGCTGCGTCTGTGTTGCGTGTCAGTGTAGCAGTGTGTCATTGTGTATATACTTTGTGTAAGTGTGTATATAGTAGTGAATGCATACTGTGTCTGAGTGTGTGTGCATACTGCAAGTTTGTGTGGCAGTGTGCATATACTGTGTCTGACTGTGTGTGTAATGTTATGTGTTATTTATACTGTGTATACATGTGTGTGTCATTTTCTATGCTTATGTAAATTGGGCACTATATGCCAATTACCTTTACTTAGTAATTTCCATTAGGGTAATAAGACTGGAACCAGGTGTGCCTCCTTGCAGACTTGTTTTCAAGCCCTCTCTATTATCTCCTTTCTCTGGGTTAGGCCCTGTATTACCCCACAACCACTACAAATTTGGTGGGAGTTTTTCTCTCTCCAGTTTTGTATATTCTGTCATTGTGTGTATACTATCTGATTGAGTGTGTGTATGTCAGGGTCATTGTGTTTGTATTTTGTCTAAGTGTGTGCATGGTAGCGAGTGCATACTACGTCTGAGTGTGTGTGTCTAAGTGTGTGTATTCTGGCTCCATTTCTCTCACTATAATTCAATCAGAGAAAAATGCCAATGTTTATATTGACAATATTTTTGCAACACTTTACCTCAAATACGGTAAAATACTGTTCTGGTGGCCACCCTAAGACTAGGTCCTAGCTAGAGCTTTCAGATACTCTCACTGGGAGTAAAGGTCAGCTTCCTGTCTGACCGAGTAGGGGAAACAGAGCTCCTCTACCATGGCCCACGGCTCGGCCATACTACATGGAGGGAAATGAGCTGGCACACCTGGGAAGATACATAGGGGCACATAGAGGGCTGGGGGGTAGCACACACAGTGCTCACAGGGAAGATGGGGTTGAAGGAGGGAGAGGACACATAAAGGGCTGGGGGAGAAGAGGCACACTGAGGGCTGGGGGAAGAGGCATGCTGAGGGAGGGAAGAGGCACATAGAGGGCTGGGGGGTGAGAGGCACATGGGGTGAAGATGCACACATAGAGCTGAGGGGTGGCACAGAGGCACACATAAGGGCAGGGGGTAGACAAAGACACACAGAGGGGCTGGGAGGAGAAGATAGACACAAAAGGGGGCTGAGGGAGAAATAGACACACAAAGGGGCTAGGGGGAGAAAGTGGCAAACAAGAGGGTTGGGGGGAAGAGAGACACACAAAAGAGTTGGAGGAGAAAGAGAAACACAAAGTTGGCAATTTTTGTTTTGGGTGGGGGGCAAATAGAAAAATAGCCCTGCTATTTAGACATTTTAATTCTGCTTTAATAATGTGGCCTAAGAGGGGGTGGCACAGGAAGTGCCTCAGTTTATATAAAATAACTTTGTAATAGATGGTGCCTGTGAGCTGCAGTGGTTATTTTGCTAAGAGTGCCTCTTTTAAGTTTGAATAAACTCTGCAGACAGGCAATAACCAAAAGGGCATTGGTATGAGACCTCCAAATATAGACAGTAACAATGTCTGCAGCCCAGAATGTCATCACAAAGAGGGGACTTAACTTGTTCATCACATACTGGACTACAGACATCGTTATTTTCTATATTTAAAGTCTGGGCAGTGTTTAGAAAAGGACACAGAAGAAGCTATGGATTCTGGATGCTGTTTGCATAGACTACAAATAGAACCTCAGTTAAGTTTTTTTTTTTTACAGGGTTATAGTTTTAATAATGC